TGGGAGTCCCAGCAGCTTCTACTGAAGCCTTCCCCAACTCCGGGGACTTCCGGCCGGGGACTTTGGGCGGCAGTATACGCCGTGAAGTGGTTTGCGGCCTGCCAGTAAACCCAAAGCAGAAGAAGAAGAAGTGACGTCAGCGGCTTAATTTGCCTAATCCTCCCCCAGGTTCAAAGAGTTCTCATGAACTAAATTCTCATGAACCTTTGTGGGAAAAGTACTGCGGTGTGAATGCGCCTAATGGTATACTAAAATCCATGTGAAAAAAATTGCTTCTCACTGTTCTCAGGTCAAATATTTATGTGATTAAAAATGCGATTAATTTCGATTAATTAATTACAAAGCCTCTAATTAATTAGATTATTTGTTTTAATCGAGTCCCGGCCCTAGTTTTAAGTTATGGTTCTGGCTAGCTGCCCACCCACACTCGCGGCTGACTATCATGGCCTCGGATCAGGCCCTGGTATTGGCCTCGTTCCTCGACGTGTCTGACAAGCCTGACTCAGTTCTAACATCAGCAAACCGCCCACCACCCCACTATGCAGCTTGATCTTTCCCTGGCAAGGACTGTAAATTACTCATTACGTGCTTAACTATCGACATGAACACACACACGTACGCAGGAAAATGTGAGGCGCAGGCACATATGCTTGGAAAGTTGTACCAACATCCGGAGCAGACCCTTCAGATGTGATCAAAACTTACAAAACGCAGACATGAATACTCACATAAACTGTTTATCCACTTGTCCACGCCAACTCAGAAACACCCAGGATCATCTATGAAGGTGTCTGAAGGCGATGCGCTCTATATTTATCTCGTAATTCTATATTCTTTATCTGTGATTTTTAGCTGAGTATCATCCAGCATCTCAAAGCTTTCTTGCCTAATTTGTTACTTGTTACTTACTTTGTTCATGAGAACTCTTTAGTTCTCATGAACTAAATACAGATCGCATTCACCGGAATAAATCCCTGGGGGTGGATTAGGCAAATGAAGCCGCTAACGTCACTTCTTCTTCTTCTGCTTCGGGTTTACTGGCAGGCCAACAACTTCACAGTGTATACTCATACGCGTATATATCTTAATATACATCCATGATACTGCCGCCCAAAATCCCCGGCCGGAAGTCCCCGGAGTTAGGGACTGGCTACTGAACCCTTCCGAGTAGTAAATCGCCAGAACGCCGACACCTCCTCGTCTCCACCGCTCCCATGTTTTATTTTGTGTTGCCATAAATTAGTCTCTCTGTGTTTGAGCGCTGGGCTAATGCTAATGCTAATAATGCTAATGCGAGGATAATAAAATGGCGGCTTCACAAAACTTTTTGGGAGTTTTACGGGGCGTGGTTTGCAATCCGCCCAGCCAATCAGACATAGGAACCTTTTTCTCCCACGAAAGTACCTGCTCTCTAGCAGGGACTGAAAAGGGGGGTAAAAAGGTTCTCATGAACTAATTTAGTTCCTTGGGCTTTTTGGTGTGAACGCAAATATATCGTAGTTCTGGTGAACTATTGTGGGAAAAGTACTCCGGTGTGAACGTGGCTATTTTGTGCCACTGCATCCATTGTGTTTGTTGGTTTGCTTTGTTGGAATATCATGCTTAATGCTTTCTTGCATCATGGAAACGCCTTATTTATCACTTTTAATTTATATACTTTTTAACTTTTAAACTCAAGACGTGCATCTGTATTTACTCCCAAATATGTCTTTTATTCTTAATCTATACATATGTTCCATCTTAATACACTATATTCGTAAATCATACTCCCTGAAGGTTTGTGCTAGCATCTGTTCTTACAAACTGGATCTCTATCCTTTGTGCCTCTAGGTTAAGACAGCATCTGCCAGTGTCCCTGACACTTCCTACAAAGTGTCATTAGCTTCATGTTGCAATTTGTCTTCTTTTCTACTCCAGTGAACCTCAATAGCCCCGGTACAGTTTGCAATTTAATTTAAGGAGGATTATCGAGAAAAACTGTTGCATTCATACTGTATAAATGCACTTTTGTCATATTTGCAATATACTGTGTGAATGAAAAAGTCCATACCATGTATGCAATCAATATTGTTTTCAACATGCCACAAGACAGACAGTCTTTGACCTTGGAATCAGAGTTTATCACACGTCTTCAGCCGTGATTCGAAAGTGATCCGGAGAGAGGAGCTGACTTTGTAATCCCTGCCATCTGCTGTTTAGATCAGATCCACTGTATGGTGACCTTTACAGTATGTAGGCCACTCTCCATCCGACGCACAAACACACACACAAACCAAGAGGGAAAAGATTGGCACTGTCTAATTCCATCTTAATCTCTTTCTGCAGCCCCCACTCAGTAGAGTTTCTCCACATTTCCATCTTGGGTCATATTGAGGGGGAAAAGGAAGGCTAAGGCGACATGCAAGAGCACCTAAGCATGAGACTGCTGCAAAGTGCCCACCCCAAGTTCTCATATTCATTTGTCCAAGTAAAAAATTGTTATCTTAGGTCCATGAAATAAATAAACCATCAGGCATCCCTTCCCCCACTAAAAGGGCTACAAATATTGAAGTGCCCTTTTGAGCTTGAGCCCTCCCTAACTTGGCCTAAATGTCAATGCTTAATCCGACCTAGCAGCAAAAACCAAAAAGACCTGATGATGTTGGCAAAATATCCTAAATAGAGAGCAGATAAGTGGTAGAAGGATAGAATAAGGAGGCAAACAGGGAGGATGGATTTGGAGAACAACATTTGGAGCAGGGGAAAGGAGACAAGGAGTAAAGAAAGGGAAGATGGGAGCCCATAGAGAGAGGGGAGGAGAAGAAATAAGAAGGAAGAGAAATTGTGAGAGCGAGTTGGGAGAAGTGGTGGAGCATACGGTTGCACCCCCAACCCCTCCTCATTAAGTCAGTCAATGTGACAGGAAGACTTATGTAACACCCCAGAGATGGAGGGAGGAGAAGGAGAAGAGTAACAAGGAAGAGGATGAAAGAAGGAGCAAGGAGAGCAGCTGTGACGGGGGAAAGAAGTGATTCAGTGGCAAAGAATTAGGCGGCGGGTAGAAGAAGATAGGGGAAATATTAGAAAGAGAGAACATAAGACAATTAACAGGAGATATATGAAGAGAGGGATCGTGCTAGAAAGATGAAGAGTAGGGGGAAAGATTTTTTTTTTAAAAAGCAATTGAAAGATCTACCGTGCCTTTTAGTATGGCTCTGCTGGCTTTAGACTTTTCATTTGTTTTGTGAGGGAGAGATTAGCAAGAGGATTAAGAGAGCGATTCTCCCACTCCTCATTCTTTCTGTTTCCCTCTCTCTTTTTTATATCACTCTTTTTCTCCCTCAGATGGGCACACGCACATTTGTCGACTCGCTCAAGCATCACACACACCACGAGACTGAGCGTGTAGAGTTTGGTGGCATGCATTTAGAAATCGTGTGCATCCAATTATTAATGAATATATCAGGACTGCAATTGAGCATTATTTCCATTCTTAGATGATCATCAGTTTATCTATTTTCTGATTAATCAATGGGGTCGTTTTCATGCAATCAGAAAAAAGTTACCAATTCCCAAAGCACCACCTGACATCTTCATTTTGTGGTCAACCAAATGCCCAAAAATATGTTACCTTTCATCGATAAATCACTCATCACAATTGTTGTCAGTAATTGTTTGTTCATCGACCATTCATTGAATCAAGTAATCCTTTAGGCGCTAGTACATATCTAACTCACACAGGCATGCTGACTTATGTGCACAGTTTTGTGTATATATACTTAAGTTGGCTTATGCATTTGCGAAAGTAAGCAGATGTAGAAATGCAACAGCGCACACATACATACACACACTACTCGATTCACTGAGGAGTATTTGGCCATTGAGCCAGTGAGGTGTAGAGTGATTGGCAGCTTGGGGCTCTCCGACCATGTTTGCAGTACATCTGGCTCTTCCTCCCTCACTCTCGCTGACTTTATCTCACCCTCTCTGACTTTATCTCACACTCTATCCTCTCTATCTCTCTCCTTTCTGCTCTCTCTCTATCTCTCTCTCTCTCTCTCTCTCTCCTCTCTCTCTCTCTCTCCTCTCTCTCTCTCTCTCTCTCTCTCTTTCTCCTGTCCAACTCCTGCTCATCTTCCTCTCTCTCTCGCTCTCTCTCTCTCTCTCTCTCCACTTCTGCCGCTCATGCAGTCTCCTCCTTACCCATTCTGCTCTCCATCTGTCTCTCGCTAGTTCCCTTTATCTCCCTCACTCTTCTGTTCAGTACTCCCCACTCTTTTAAACGCACACGCTTTCTCTCTTTTTCTCTCCTTCCCTCAAAAAGCTTAGCCTTTCTCTCTCTCTCTCTCCCTCCCTCCTTTTAAACAGCAAAAAGCAATTATCTCCCTTTGTCAGGGCGGTTGGCAGTAAGCCCTTAAGTAGGGATTTTCTGGTTTGGCTGGAATGCCATTAGGTGAGCTGGTGGTGACGTGCCGTGACTGACGTGCCGAATCTTTTGATGTTTGTTGATGTCACAATCCAGCGGAGGCTGCGGTTATGATATTGTTGGCGTCCCCCGGAATGAGGGGCTTTAGTGGTCATGTCAGAAGTAAGTCTTCATAAATCCTTTATGGCACAGAAATATTAAGCTTCTTTGGTGTTTCACGGACAGAGGGAAACACATGGAGGATATACGCACACAGACACAAAGCCCACCGTACTACTGTACTCCGAGAGAGAGATATAGGTGCATGCATACTCCAAGAGTCCACACACACACACACACACACACACACACACACACATACACACACCCCGGGTCTCAGATATCACTCAAATAGAGCTACACACAATGTACACATACAGTATGTATAATAAACTCACCCTTGGGGAATAACCCATTGGAGGAAATGTGAATGTATGTGTGAATGCTGGTCAGATTATTATGAAAGGTAATGTCAATCGCATTAGGACCATTGACACAAACGGCTACATTTTGGGTTGGAACTTCGCTTAACTTTTGTTTACATCTTTTCACACAGCACCCCCCAAGTTTACACGAACCCCAGAAGATCAAACAGGAGTCCAGGGGGGAGTGTCCTCCTTTGTGTGCCAGGCCGCAGGGGATCCACAGCCCAAGATTGTCTGGAACAAGAAAGGCAAAAAAGTCAGCAACCAGAGATTTGAGGTATGATCCTCAGACACTAATGATGGATGATTAATTTAGTCCTTTTGTATGATAAAAGCCTATCGTCCGCTTTTCATGCTGAAATCTGCATAGGGAAAAAGGACTAGGTTCGTATTCAAATACTAAACCACAACTCAGGTTCACTGCAGGATGAATGTTCTCAGTGGTTTATTAATGTGTGTTTAATATTATTTGTTTGCCTTTCTAACCTTTAATTTATAGAAACACGTTTTAACTCAAGCAATAATATTGGCAACTTAAAATGGGAGCTATTTTGTAGATTATTGATTAAAGGTGGGGTAGATAAGTTTGAGAAACCGGCTCGAGATACACTTTTTGTTAAATTCCATGGAATGCTCTTAACATCCCGATAGCAATGAATATCTTAAGTGCTTTGACACAAAAATTCATAAAAAAATGTAATCTCTGGAAGCCGTAGTACTGTAGAAAGCACGACCAATATCTGAGAGCCGGCCCGGCTGACATAACTTGATGGCCTACCTGCCTGTCAGCCTTCCATCTGTGCACAAACTTATCTCGTGCCCTCATTGGTCATGTGCACGTTCGTGTGTGTGTTGGAGGAGGGGCTCTGTAAGGTGTATTTTCAAATTCTAGCGCACTCGAGCTGGTTTCTCCAAAATTACCTACCCCACCTTTAATGAATCAAAATAAAACAAAATGGAATAATAATTGCATTAATCAAAGAATAATTTAAAGGAATGGTTTGACATTTAGGAACAATTAGGAATAAATGATATTCTTGAATAAAAGGATTTTCCAGGTAAGGCAAGCTTTGCTTTTAATAAAGTAAGAAAACACAACTTACTCATAAACTTGTTGTTCTAATTTAAAAAACAATATTTAATGTGTGTGTTTGAGAGTTGTATTTGCGCTAGAAGTTGTTTTGACCTTTAGACAAAACCATAACTGTAACTTTGAATTGAAGAGTGGAGTCAATCTTCTCATCTAACTCCTAACAAGAAGGCAAATAAGCCTGATTCTCAAAATGTGAAACTATTATGTACTGATTGAGGAATCACTGAGAAGTAAGTAATTATTGGTGTCTCCTTGGGTTCTGAAAAGTAATTTCTCCAGCACAATTGCCAGATATTTCTAGTTGCAGCTTTCCGTTTGGGATTATTTGCTGCTTCCTTATCTAATGTGATAATAAACTTTTGGGTTGAGACTTGTCCATTTGGTTCTGTGTAATTACTCACCAAAATAAATAATCTATTTATCAAATGATCCACTAATCAAACTAATCCTCGGATAAATCGATAATGAAAATAACAATACAACAATAACAATAACTGGTTGGACTGTTTAAAAATAAACGGCTAACTCATAGCCCGTTTCAGAGCTTAGTTTTGGACAGATACTTCATTAATGGTAGCAGTTACCATCAGAGTGCCCACAGAGAGAAAGGTGTATTGTTGGCACTGTATTTATTGCAATTCAATTTTACATTTAAGTCAATAATTGAAAAAAGGGTAACTTCCTTTTTTTTTGGGGGAGTGGCTTGAACACCTACCAGTTTGTTTATAAAATCAAAGTTGTACTGTTTAAGATTTGATCAGTTTATCTGCTTTTTCTCCATTTGTACCGCAAAGGTTATACAAGTGTGTGAAATGTTATCTGCTCCAACACTTTCATATGTCAGAGGATGCCTTGGGCTACAGTATATGAGAGTCTCATATGATCAGCCTTATAGTTTCCCTGAAGGCTCTAACCTTTGAATGATTTCCCCTCCTCCACAAGTCACTCTCAGATGGAGTTGTTGCATCAGTGCCCCCCCCACCCCCACCAACTCATTGTCACCCTGAGCCCACGGTGTTTTTTTTTCACTTTAATAAGTCGAGTTTCCTCCCAGGTTTGAGTTCATCTTGAAGTCCTCCTGTTTGTGATTAAATCACTCGAGGAGATATTTTATTTTTAATCCAACCTATATAATCTCAGAATGTTTTTTTATTCCCCCTTTTCTGTCCTGCCAGCCTGGAGTTGTTGAGGGATTTCCTTTTATTGGATTTTCAGTCATCAGAAACCTTCTCAGAATTCAGAATCTGATACATGCTTGTATTTAACTTAGCAAGAGTATTCAAAATGTCCAATCCCTTATTTGAGGAAAATGTCATGTTATAACATATTACATAAACATCAAATATAATGATTTTTTCACCATCTCTTCTCCATTTTTTAAATACAAAAATTGTTAAACGTTTTCTTTCAGTGGATGGCTTTTCTGGGGCTGCCTGAAATCTTTTTTTAAATTGTGTGTAATGACGCTGCAAATACAGCTTTAAATACAACATTAACATATTGCTTATCAGTGTTACAGTAGTATTGGCAACATTTTCCCATTTAAACATCCACTGAGATACTTTAGCATTCCTTAGAAGTTGTGTTTCTGTACACCTGATAAATGCAAGTCGAATATTCACTGTCTTTAAGATGTATTTATTTGGTTCTCTAACATCTGATACATATTTGGTTCTGTAGCTATTAAATGCTCTATTATGTTCACCAGCTAGTTGCTAACATTGTATGTTGCCTTGCGTTAGAAAGTTTGTCTAAAGTGAGTTTTTTAACTTTTTAACTTTAAATAAAAGTGCCAGCGGCCAAAAATTATGATGAGACCGGTTAAAAGTTAACCATAACTGGTGGTAAAACCAAAAGATAAGCTTAAAGATGCTAATAAAAGGAGCGTTGGTTACTGCAGATTCAGGTGATCGTTTTCTGTCGGTTAATCACTACAGTCTTATACAGTATGTTTTGATAAATTGTTAGATATGTTATATTGACTTTTTCAATGTCTTTTCTCACTAACAGGTAATAGAGTTTTGACGACGGGTCCGGCTCGGTCCTAAGGATCCAGCCGCTAAGGACCCCGAGAGATGAGGCTATTACGAATGTCACGCCTCTAACTCTGCAGGAGAAATCACTGCTTCAACCCGACTGAGTGTACTAAGAGGTCAGTGTGAACATCCATGCAAGCTGTTATTCTTATCAGCTGTTCAATCACATTGTTTCAATAGCTGCGAAGAAAACCACAAAAGATCATTCTTGGATTGTAAATCCATCAATCACATAAAACATTGTCTTTTAACCCTTGTGTTGTGTTCGAAAGCTGTTTCCGTTCATGGTGTTCAACATTGATTCATCTAAGTCCAAAACACTCAAAAATAATGACTATCATCCAATATTGTTTTAACTACATCATCACTAACTTATTATGATTCACAACCTCACAATCCTGTTTTCATTTTATTATTTATGGCCCACAAAACACATATTTTAAGAAGAAAATGGGATTAAATTCACTCATTATATTCCCTATAGTGAAGAAAGTGGATAATTATGTTATCTGACTATAATATTACTAATATTATATTATTGACTAATATTAGAATACAATTTCACCCCCCAGATTTTTTTTACAACTTTATATTATTAACTATAGTTCCAATAAAAAAAAAACTAGAGGGTACAGTAGGTGTCACTTGAAACGGGCCACTGGAGACCCCAACACAACATAAGGGTTAACAACAAGTGAACATCCCTGTGATGTTATAACTAGTCGGATTAAATATTAACTGAACAAATAAGGAAGGTGGTTTATATTAAGTTATACACATTTTCAAGCATGTTCTTCAAACTTAAATGGAGAAGAAGTCAAGGCTTTTTGGATGTTTTTCTCAGATGTAGATATACAGTTATAGGCAAGTGTAAGCCTGGGTCCACTGCAGTAGATGGTTTGTTAGTGTTAGTGGAGTCCATTAATGCACATAGTGATGTTAGTGTTAGTGGAGTCCAATTAGGAGAACATTATGTACCGGGAGTTTGAAGCTCAAGAGTGATTAGTGAGTGAAGTGCTCAAGTGTGGATAATCACATCGCCTGCCTTTACAGCATGCTCATGGCGGAAAGGACGTGCAGCCCATTGTTCTACCATCTCGTCTCCCCTCTATCTCGCTATTCCCCCTCTTGTCTCTCTGAGGGGTTAATAATAACATAGTCTACAGTTACTCCTCTCCACTCTCTTCTCTTCCATCTCGTCTGTCTGTGTTTTAGTCTCTAAAGTTCATTCCCTGTTACGCTGTATTTCACTCTACACTTTCTCTCTGACTTTTCATTACACTTTGCTCCTTTTTTCTCCCTTTCTCTCTCACTCTCTATCTGGCTGTCTGTCTTCTTTTTCTCTTCGTTCTCCCTCAATATGCTCTTAGGTCCACTACAACCAGCAACCTCTAAATTATTCACATCAGTCCCAACTCTTTGCATCTTCTTTGCCGTTCGCTCCATCCATCCAGCATCGTTCCTGTCTCACGTTGGTTGTCTTCGTACTTGTACTGTGTGTATGTGTGTGCAACTGCATGTGCTCTTGCTTATGTGTCCCTGCATCTATTTTAGATTTTTCCTTCCTCCCTTGATGGAAGCTATGGGCTCGTTGTCTAATCTTTATCGAAAACGTAACCATTCATGCACGCACACATAGGAAAAAAAACACACACAAACCTATCCTCAATCTTAGGCAGTCAGTCTTTATGTAGTGATTATTCCTCTTTCTGCCTCCTCTGAGGAGTCATTGTGTTGTGGATGAATAAGAGGCCACCTGGGAGCTGCTAATAGCCCCTGATACACTGTCAGTGCAAATGTCAGTGGCAAAGTACACACACATGTGATACCACACACACCTATACGAACACACACATACACACACCATATTCACCCAACACACCGAGTCTTGTCAGTCATGTTCTCCTTGTCTCCTCTGGCTCTGTAAAGACACCGCTCCCACTGGTGAGTGTCTGTCTGTCAGACAGGAGGATCCGGTGTTAAGGTCAGCCAGCTTAATTACTGAGGATAAGAACCGGGCTAATTGAAATCTTGGCTTCCAGTAAACGGCCGTGATTGACAATGTCTGAAATAATAATGAACTTGAGAGCAATTATATGCTTTAGGATCCAGTGTTCATTCCCATACTGTATAATTCATGGTTCGGTAAAAGTGGAGCGTGTGGCTGTTTGAATTAATGAATGAGTCTCGGAAAAAGTAATACAGTCTAAAAATTGCAAAGTGAAGTTGTTAAGTTCTTTTTAATCGACATAAAGTCTGAAGGGGCAAGAAACTTGAGTGTTCAGATTATCAGAGAAGCGAGAGTGTGTAGACAACTTTATTTTAAGATAAAAGAGTGTGAGTACAGTACAAATGGTAATATAATTGAAAGTTGAACAACAAAGTGGGTACACATTAGCTCAACAGATAATACTTGGATTAAAAACGCGTCTGTCTTCTCACAATGTAGCTGCAACAAGATATTGTGCAGCCTACCAAAACAACCTAATGACGTAATGAGAGTCATACAAATAACCAGCTAACTACAACAGCCGCAATGCCACATCGATCCAGGGGACTTCTTCTTACCACACCGCCAACTTCCTGCATCCTTGCTTCGACCACACCCATTTTTTACTTAATGACTTGTGACTGTGTCTTAACCAACTCTGACCTCAGACAGAAATATAAGCACCTGGAAAAGTACTCAAACCGATTCTGTGGTATTTCCCGCTACAGTAGGGAATCTGCAGGACCACATTTTGCCATAGTGACACTCAAACCACATGCACACACACACAGACTCATAAGGTCAAAACTGACCATTCACACACTGTAACAAACCGTGGCTCCACAAAACTTGACCCAGACTTAAATCAACAACAACATTTTTACTATGTAATAATCACAAGTAATGTAACAGTTCGTAAGTGTTAATGTTATTGTATCTATCACGTAACCTGTTTTGTCCCCTGAGTCCGTGATGAATGACAGGAACAGGTTTGTTTGCAGGTGCTGATATTACAAATGAGCTTCTAATATACGGTCTTCCAGATTTCCAGATGACAAATCCAGTGAGCTATGTGTGTGGATTTCTTTTTGGGTCTTGTATAAAGAGGAAAGTGTTCACACGGTAGTTCCCATGATTGGGAAACCGGGCATTTCTATGAGCTGTGAAATGATCTGGATCTCTCACAGTGGAAAACACTGAAGTGGGAGCACATCCAAGGAAACAGTGGGATGTGTGGAAGGCTCCGTCAACAAGGGAGTGTAGCGTTTTTCGCATCTGCTCTGACCTCAGGGGGTACTTTACTGTTCAGCAGTGCGCACACACACCACTGGAGCAGCTTTGTGTCCCAAACCCACGTTGGTGTTGCTTACACCTGTCCCATGATGGATGGGGGGGAGCTGGTTACAGTATGTGCATGCATCAACGTGTGTGTGCATCAACTCATTCAATCAGTCCCTCAAACATTTGTCCTTATATTTACTTCACACCTTGTCAGCTTTAAATGAAAGAACCTTGTCGTATTTTTTAACACCCTCATGAAAGTATGTGCGTTCTCCGTCTGTGCTTTTGGTTCTTGCACACACCTCTACTTACACATCCATATCTGCAACTCTCGTTTGTTCTGTGCCGGTGAGTGGTTTGTAGAAGAGGGGCCGAGAGAGATGCATGATCTCAGGGAGGTAGCATTCTAACTGTGCATCCTCAACGTTCAGTGCAGTGTCCCACCCCAGGTAGATGAAATAGAATGCGTTATTCCTGCCTACGAGGGGATGGCTTTGAAGTAAGCGTTGCATAATGAAAGCGGAGAGAGTCAGGATTGTTTATGCTGTATGGGTCCCTTGTGTTTCTCTCTCCCTTTCTGTCTGTTTTTCCTCTTCCCCACTCCCCTTGTTCTCTCTTTATTTTCCTCTCTGTCACTCTTTTTTTGTCTCACTGTATTTTCATTCTAACTCTCTTTTCTTTTCTTTTTTTGCACTTTTGCCCTCTTTTACCACCCGCCCACACAGACACAGTAGTACACACAAAACACCTTCTGATCTTGTTCTCTTGGTTTATTATGTCCTGTTTCCGTTTGTCGGCCGTTCTCTGATTGATTGAAACCAAAGCTGTTAAAAGGCCACACACGCACTCGCAAAGCCAGTGTCTCACGACCCGTCGGCTATGGTTCGATGGGCAAGTACCAGAATTAGCATCTCTTTGGCAAGGTTCAGCGCTAGGATTTCCCGTTAATGAGGCTCTGTGTGGTTGAGAGGGATAAAGTCACAAGGGATTCTTGTTTTTTTTTAAATGGGAGAAAATAGACTGCCTTCCAGATCAAATGCAAACACATGCAGGAACGTACGCTCCTTGCTCATCTGTCTTTTCACCATGTCTATCTTTATCCACGTTATTATGGATGACTCATGAATCTGACATTTTACCCCGCAGTTATAAAGTGTAGCGGTGAACAAAGTAAAGAATTATTTTTATCAAATGTATTTGCTTTTAACACGTTTGATTCCAAGGGTGAATACTGTTTTTTCCATCTAAATAAAGTGTAGGTGCCTTTGACCCTCCCCCCTCCTCGAGGTGATGTCCCCTCCTCTTCCCTAAGTCTTCTCCTTCAGTTGAATGAAGTTGGCTTAAAGGTCCCATGTCATGCTTTCCGGTTATTACCCATCCCCTTGGGTGTTATGAAGGTTTTTATGCATGTAAACGGTCTGCAGAGTCACAAACCCTCAAAGTACACCGTAGCGAGTAAAACTCTAACACAGAAAAGACCTATCTATGCTGCCCCAGAACGCCTCGTTGGAGATTTCTCTTTTCTTCCTGGGTATGGTGACGTGCCCATACGTATAGAGTTCCTCACACACACACACATGCCTCACACACACACACTCTCTCTGCGGCAAAACTGTGACACGCTGGGGGGGGTGCTAGTTGTGCCTCGCAGCGGCGAAACTAACTGTGGCGCGCTTACACTGTAGGTGCGCCGCGTTTGGGGGTTCGGGTGCTAGTGGAGCCTCGTAGATTGGGGTGCTGCAGCCCCCTGAGCATCCCCCCCTTCCCGCGTCCATTCACGATGTCTCGCAATGTCCCGCCAACACGGCACCCAGACCCCACGCAGCATTCTCATCTGTTTGTCATTACTGGTGTCATTTTCTGGCTGCTAACGCCATTGTAACACATAATCAATGATGTTCCACTGTAACGGTGGACTCATCAGAACAGAGTGGGCGAGCTGACCAATCAGAGCACAGTGGGCTCATAGGGAGGGAGGGGGGGGGGGGGGCAGGAGCTCCAACAAGCTGTTTCGGACAGAGAGTGAATACACATACTATAACCAATGTGAGTTTGGAAAATTGCACAATATAAATCTATTCTAGTAGACCTCAACAATGGAATTATGATCAGTAGAAAAGGCCATGACATGGGAGCTTTAATGCCTTTGATTTGTGTTATCTCAGTGAAAGGACTCATCATGTTGGATCTAATTGCCTCCGATGTCTATGAATTCACATTTGATTTGCCAATCCCAAAAGGGTGCAAGTCCCAGTGGATGCATAATTATTTGATTCTCCTATTTGATTCATGCAAAGTGCTTCCAGAGAGGGTTATGTGCAACAGACTGAGCAGCAGGACAAAAAGTTTAGCTCAAACTGAGTCCCAGCAGAATAGAGAGTATTTGAGTTTCCATTTATTTATATTTGAAGAGCCATTGCCTGAAGCTTTTTGAAGATAGTTTGTCATGGGGGAATGAAATGTTACTTATTATATTTGACCTTACTATTATTCCTCAAAAGTCTTGCCTCCAGGCTCCTGGCCAGTTGGAAAAATATTTTGGCTCTAAATTGAATCTATTTTGACCAGCCAGTTTCCTTTTTCACTCTGGACAAGTGCCTCAACCTGCTCGGTGTCAATTCAGAGCTGAAGGCAGTTGTGTATTAAGAATCATGTTTTGTCTTGTTTCGAACATCTATCTGCTTTAGGGACATGTCAGAAAACTCACTGCAATTAAAATTGATTGACATGTTGGGAAGATAGGAGAGAAACTGATACTGCTCTAATATGAATGTTAAATATGAAGCTACAGCCAGCAGCAATTCTACAGCTGGCCTGGCTACATCTGACAGTAACAAAATCCACCAAACATGCAATCATGCACATAGATAAACCTACTGTAAAAGAAGCAAAACCTTAAGATTGACAGGTTCAGCCTCATGGATATGTGTCACATACTGTATACGTTGTACGAAAAACTACTGTAACAATATAATATTGTATATATTATATCATATAAAGAAAAAGCGTCCTGTTTCTAATCCATTAAAAATAACACATTTGAAATGTATATTTCCTGCTTTGTTTAACTTGTGTTTTCATCCTTGTAGAGGACCAGCTGCCCTCAGGGTTCCCCACCATTGACATGGGTCCCCAGCTGAAAGTGGTTGAGCGTTCTCGAACCGCCACTATGCTCTGTGCTGCTAGCGGTAACCCTGACCCAGAAATTACCTGGTTCAAAGATTTCCTGCCAGTCAACACGTCCAATAACAACGGACGAATCAAGCAGCTCCGCTCAGGTAAACAATTGTTTTAATCCTCCATTCTTTCCCTTGTCCTCAATCCCACGCTTTTATTTCTATTTAAGGTTTGTTCCCTACCCCTCTTCTAATATCCGCTCCTCGTTTATTTTTCCCCATACCCGTTTTTTTATGTTCTGTTCCTACTAAGTGTCTGTTATTCTTGCCCCTGTTCACCCCTTTTCTTATTGCTGTTCCCACTCCTCCTGCCGTGGTTACTGGCTGTGTTTCTCTGCTGCTGTGTAGTATGAGTTGACTGTGTGTGGTTGCCAACTTTTCTAAACTCTTCAAAGCCTTAAACAGTAAACTCCCAACTTCTCTCTGCTTTTCTCAAACCTCTGAGGTCTTCCCGTGCAAATCACCATCACGAAGGGTTTAATTGTTCACTTAGTACAAACGTTATGAAATATTTGTAACATCACGCATCAGTGCGCACCATGTCTCTAGTCATAACAAATGTTCTCTACTGACTGAATTTGCAAGGTAAAACCCAGATGTTGGTGGCTTGCACTGAAGGAATGTCCTCTCTCAGATGACTCACTGCTGTGACTAAACCAACAAATAACCTTTTGTTTTTCCTCATATTATGGAAATACGTGTGTCTTTTGTGAGTGTGAAATTGACTCACGGACATTGCATTTTATTTTGAGTAAATACATTGAGAGAATTTGTAAAACTCAAAGACAGGAGAACTGGGGAAAATACACAGAGAATAAATTGTTTTCCAGTCCAGGCACTCAATCTCAATCAGCGTTTCTATAGCCACAGTAGTGTGTAAAATCCCAACTTGTCTTAGCAAATTCCCCCCCCCCCTCCTCAGTCCTCCTTCTGCTTCCAGGGACCCTCTGGACCCAAAAACCTTTCTTGTGATTGGACATCCAACTCTCTGGCTTCATTATGGATAACAACCTTTCTGCTTCTCTCCCAAATTGTTTTTGTTTTAGTTCTCTGGCTCAACTCCCTGCTCAAACTCCCATTTTGACCTTTATTTAATAAATAAAATATATAAAAGTAAAAGCATTTACAGAATTGTTAGACCTTAAAATGTCAAATATTTGTCATGTTAGCTTTGCTTCTTCTATATGATGATTACAACGTACTTTTACAAAAACAAAGTTTGTGTAGATAATCAATATTTGGCTTCTTCTGGGAGTTCCAGTGCTTTTTCAAGTGTTTCTAAGTCAACTCCTCTGTGTAATCAATGGTCCGATTATAATGCCATGTCTATGCTGTTTCTTTTCTCTTTATATCTTTTTAACTACAGAGTCCTTTGGTAAGTGCTTCTGTTCCGAGGCCCACACCCTCACTGTCCACTTTTCTATATACTGTTCACTAATGCTGCTTCTGTTGCTGCTGCTGCTCACCTTTACAATACTGAAGTGTAATTCAAATGCATGGCATGCATTTAACTAACAGTCACACACAGAGATATAATGAGCACAGATGCACACACACTCTGCAGTCACCCATACATCATTTTGGATACAGACACATACTATAGATGCTATGAATTGATACAGAATAAATAAAATACACATGCATAAACACATATCTACACATATATAACTAAATATACATGAATATACTCACACATATCTCTGTCACCCTAGAGGTAGCTGGCCTCACCCTCACCTGTGCACCTGCAGCCTTTCCACACCCAAATAATTACAATAACTTTCTCCTCACACTCACCTATTTACTTTTCCACTTATTAAATTATTCTCCCTCCCTCTCACTCACTCACTCACTCACTCACTCTGTCATTCACTCACCCACTTACTCTCCACTGTGCTGTATAGAGTTACAAGTCAATAAGCCATGAGCTGTGGATGGCTATTAGGTAGGCCTCTGGTGGAGCCACTGTAAGAAATCAATGGGACCAGGTTACAGACTTCTAGACGTTGCCTGTACACAGTTAGTATGTATATACTAAACCTGGTTACTACTGCTAAGAGGTAGTGAATGGACACGCAGTTTGAACATCCCCATAATAGAGTCAGACAAATAATGTAATGTAAAAAAAATCCACTCTTCAATACCTTTTCACGCTCATATAAATCGTTTTTTTACATTATGATTTTGATTTTGCAACAAAGTGCTGTGTTTTGCATTTCTTTGTTTACACTCACAGGTGATTTCCTTAATGATCTATTATTCTATTATGTGAGATCACACCTCTACAACTTAAACAAAGATGTATTTATTTGTATTATTATTATTTATTTATTTTTGATTAGTGAAAATAAATCAGCTATATTAGCATTGTAATAGTCAATTCATTGTTTAAAGTTCATTTAACAGTCTCTGGTTCTTTCTCCCTAAATGTGAGGATTTACTACATTAGTTTGTACCATTTTAAACTGAATATCTGAGGGTTTCATGGCTTTGGGATATTTTATAGGCTTAATTATTATTGATTAACCTGTCTAGTATATTCATCCCAAATCAAATCAATTATTAGTTGCACCCCACCCCTCTTACAGTAAATGTATGTTGGCACCTCTCAAAGTATGTCGTTGGTGGTCGGTTTGAGATGTTAGGTCTAGAAATACAATATAACTCTTTGAGGGGTTGAGACATCAACTTGACATTTACCGTTGATTTTTTAGATTGTTGAAAATGTGCCTGATGTCAGACTCTGTTTTAAGATTAAAAAAATCAATCCGAGTATATATTTTTACACAGTGAAAGTATTGGAGGGTGGATTATTTTCCTTCAGAGACAGATATTTAATGTATTTACTAAGGATATTACGAGCAGGATTACGCCTGCTTTTGATCTATGTGGAGGTTAAGTCTCAGGGCAGTTAAGTGTACTCAGAGTCTCAGTCCACCTCTAATAGACCCAGATGAGTGCAGTGCAGACACTACCCTACAGCCACTTCTGCCCCTGCTGCAAGTCAATGAAGTCAAATCAATAACCCATCTCCTTATAGCTCTGTCACTGTCTGTCACTCTGTCTATCTAGTCTCTGCCTTTCTCTTCTCAGGCTAATTCTGTCTTTATTTATTCTGTCTTTTTCTCTATGCCTCTCTCTTCCTCTCACTCTCTTAAGGAGCTATATTTTGAGTCTTCCTCTCTAATTTGATTCTTCTCCTTTCCAAGTTACCTCCCCAAGTCCCTCCCTTCCTATCCCCTGCTCCTCCTGTGGTACTAACATTTTCTTCTTCTTCTCCTTCTCTAATCTCGTGCATTCATTGCCCACTCAGGTGGCACGCCCATACGAGGTAAGACTGCTGGGAGGACCAACATGACACAGTGGCCTGATTCCTTTTCCACCCCCGGTTCCTACTTCACTTGCAGATCTGAAAAAAGCAGCTCTGGGTGGATTAATCAATACATGTTCAGTCCCAAAGACTGGTAACGCTCCTCCAGCTGCATCAGATCTGCAGTAGGTGCAAGAGGGGAGAAATTGGAATTGAGCAAGCAATTCATTATACTCTGACTTTTAATCACCTCTCTTCATCTCATCTCAGCCTCAACAGTCACTCTATAATACAAAAAGTCCATGGCTTCCTTCCTCACCATATTGTGATCTTTCTTTTCTATCCACCAGTTTAACATCATTCAGCTATTCACGTCTACTTTGTTTTCAGTCTAAAGCATGATTTGTTTACAACTTGTATTTATTTTTAGTTGATTAGACTTAGGTGACAAAACGTACTATCATTTTACCTTTTTGTGTGACCTGATTTCCTATTTTTTTTTTTTTCTTTGCCGGTGGGTCTTGACCGACCTAGCCTCTCTTCCTTGTCTCTATTTGCCCAATCAAACGTCTTAGTTTTGTTTTCCCTCCCAGCTGTTATTCGCTCAGCCTGAAAAGTCCAGATGGCAAAGACTTAGACACACGCACATGTAAACACACACACACACACACACACACACACACACTTTTCTCCATGATTTTTACCATTACTTTCTCTTTTCTCTCTCATTACCGATAAAAAGCCCCAAACAACCACTTTTTTTATAAAGTTTTTCTGGGCGCTTTTTTGCCTTACCACCCCATCTTTAAAGAACCTCTGGTTTACTTTTTTGACAGTTTTTCTGTTTCCAGGGAGCGAGAAAGCGTCGATCCCTTCCCAAGGCTTTGCGTATGTCGTTCCTTTTTTTTCAATCTGTGGCCTTGATGAAGGTCAATTGGTGTCTTTACCTCCTTATTGGGTGTGCTTTTAAAATGACTTCACACTCCTGATCCCATTGGTGGATCTGTAAGGGTTTGGGATATTTCTTGACATGGCAATACCGTTGTCATATTTGACCCATGAAAACTGAAACATGATTTGCTCCCTGATAACTCAATCTTGATTTCCAGCAAAGATTTTTTTTTTTTAACTGTATTGGTGACTGGATTTCTCCACATTTGAGTTGCTTGGTTTGTTGCTTTCTGCCGTGCATGAAGACTACATTCTCGGTTTTTCTAGGCTTTGTATCAGTTTTTGTTTGTTTTTATTCGTTTTTTGTTTTCTTCCCATTTCTTAATCAGGAAGCTGACCCTTGTTTTGGGCAGATTCTTGCTGACAGTGGTAGAAACGTGTTAATAGATCTTGCCCCATTTTTATCCCTGTGTTCAGCTTGTTTTTGCTGAAAACGGTCTCAGATTCATTTACACTTTATGCAGTTGTTACCATTTCTATGTTGGTGTATTTATGGACTATACCCAATTATCTGATGTCTTCCACTTTTGTGTAATTGCTCTTTGTTCCTTACTATCTTTCTGTGTGACTCCCTCTCCGCTCTCTCTATATTCTACTCTTCCTCTCCATCTCTCAATGAATCCAGGTGCCCTCCAGATAGAGATGAGTGAGGAGTCCGACCAGGGGAAGTACGAGTGTGTTGCCACCAACAGCGATGGGACACGCTATTCCACGCCAGCTAACCTCTATGTCCGAGGTAAGAGGGAATAAAAAACCAGAGTAGAGCACTTACATTTAACGATTGATGTATGCTCAGATTATGACATCTATTCTTAGAAGATATTTATATATTTTAACATAAATGTCTTCTGCTAGCAATGTGCATTTATCATATTAATGTGATATGACGCTATTAAACCTTCTGTGTTAAAGAAATTCTTAGCCGTCGAGTCATAAAACTGGATAATTTTAAATAAGATTTCCTTTACATCAGCTCAGGCGGGGCAGAAGGTTTCACTCGGGCTATTAATCTCTCCGCCCTCTCTTCTTAGCCTTTAGACCTCAGAGAAAAAAACAAATCATTGTCTGGTTAAGACTTGTGTTTCTCCCCAAATCTGACAGGCATCTCTGCACCTCGGGCACTGTCTCCTTCAACAAACATTCACACACATTCCCACCCAATGTTTGAGTCTTGGAGACATTTTTATTCCTGTGGCCTTTTGCTCTGTTGTCTGCCCACCCCAGAAAAAATAAATAAATAAAGGCTTTAAAGAGCGTAGCATGCTTTTCTGACTCCAACATTGCTCCTAGGGATACGAAGCAAAATCACACATGACTGGAAGCACACACAGCTATGCTAGACCAAAAGAAAATATAAACACACATTTATACACACACAAACGGGCGCAGAGGCAGTGATGTGCGTCTAACAGTGCTTGCAGGGCCAGTAAAATCTTGCAGTGCTGCTCAGTGAGTGTTTGACAAGCAGTCTATGGAGACAGCCGGCTGTGGAGGCTGCTTTAAAAACAGGCTTTCTACGGACTCTGTTTTCTCTCTTTGCTCTCCTCTTCTCCTTCTTTCTTGCTGTGTGTTATCTCTCTTTCTATTGCCATGCTCCTTTGTCTAACTGGTTTTTTCTCTGTCTCCCGTTTCTTCTCTTATATTTCTGTTTTCCTTTCTCTACTCCTCCCGCCGTGCTCTGTCCTCCCCCCTCTGCAGAGCTGCGAGAAGGTTGGTACAGTAACAAACTGTGTGCTTTTTCAGTCTCTCCCGAGTATATTCTCCTTTCTTCCATTAAACTGCTATTCGTGTTTGTGTGTTTTCGCCTGTACAGTTCAGTCCTTTGAGAAATACTGTACCCTGTGTTCCTCTTTTCTCTTTTCCCCCTGTGAGTGTGTTTGCTGTGAGATGTATTTTTTGGGGAGTATTTTGTGTTTCAGTTCATAACATATTTAATGGAGCACACCTAAAAACACCATGAATAAACATTTTCATATCACATCCACCCTAGTGGTGATGTACTAGACTGTCTGAATGCTTGCAGTCTTTTTTGAATGCCATACAATTTCATCTAAGAGAACATGGAACAAAAAAATAAAACCCATTCACTGGAAACACATATGTTCTTCACTTTACTGAGCAACACAGTCATGCATTTCTAATGGCCTCTCTTCTCCTGCCTTCCTGCTTCCATTGCTGCTGGTCCAGTGCGTCGTGTCCCCCCTCGCTTCTCCATCCCCCAGCGGACAGCGAGATCATGCCAGGTGGGAACATCAACATCACCTGTGTGGCCGTGGGCTCCCCCATGCCGTATGTGAAGTGGATGCTGGGGAGAAGAGATCTGACGCCTGAGGATGACACCATCGGCCGCAACGTCCTGGAAAACTGACCGACGTGCGCCAGTCCAACAATTACACATGCGTCGCCATGTCGACACTTGGCGTGATTGAGGCGGTGGCACAGATTATTGTGAAAGGTTTGTGGATTCATCAGCATGAGGTGTGAGGAGAAGAGAGCATGCGAGCAAGAGATGATTTGACCTTGCCTGCAGTGACAGCAGAGTGTTTTTAAGAGGACAAAATCACAGTGAAGGTTGTCTTCTATGATGAGCATTTGGAAAAAATAGATCGCCACAGAATTTAAAAAAAGCTTGTAATTGGTTAATCCCTTTGCTTTACAGAATAAATCAAGTAGTCACTGATATCTTACATATTCACAACCAGAAGAAGAAAGAAGGAACATTATTACATTATATGTAAAATGGTGAAAAACAAAAGGCAAGGAAAGTTTATTTATACAGCACCTTTCAACACAAGGCAATTCAAAGTGCTTTACAAAAATTAAAGACATTAAGAGCATTAAGAAAGAGATTATAAAATGGCATTTAAAAAACTCATTTAAACACTCAAAAGAAAAAAGGTTTTACCCTGAAGTATGTCTTGCTTTATCACAGCAGTTCCCTCCAGACACTTTTGCAACACTAGCCTTTTTATGTCTGAATTTGAATGTTTGTTTCTTGAAAGAGAAGAAAAAGCTTGATTATTTTTTTGTTAATCAGATAATGTTAATGGAATCTGTCAAAACTTTGTTTTCTATGGGGACTTGTTTCAGTAACTAACAAATGATCTTAACATTTGTAATTCATTTAAGTGAGTAATTATTCAGGCGGTGTAATCGCTGTATAGAGAATTGTGAATTGTTTAACTCTTGGATATTGAGGTTGTCTCATGGTCTCATCCCTTACATTTTTTAAACAGCAGATTACATTTTTTAGTTTTACAATTTCAAAGTGATGTTATGAATATATTCAACAGTTTCTTATTTCTCTCTCTCCCTTTCAGCTCTGCCAAAGGCCCCTGGTAACCCTGTGGTGACGGAGAGAACTGCAACAAGCATCACACTCACCTGGGATTCTGGGAACCCTGAGCCTGTCTCCTACTACATCATACAGGTGTGAAACAGACACAGAAGCACTACTGCATGTGCACACAGGCTTTCTGAGACGAAGACCTTAAGATGAACTACATTTGTGTGTGAAAATGGACTATAGATATATATGTATATACTGTATATACATATATATAAATATACATTTCCTCGGCAAGTCAGGGTTTGATATGCTATATATATGTATTTGTTTTCCTTTGTAAAAGTAGGCTAATGCAGCTTGAAATCATTATGTTATCTTCCTCTGCTCTCTCTCTCCCTCTCTTGTTTCCTCAGTACCGTGCCAAAGGCTCTGAGGACCCCTACAAAGAGATTGATGGCATCGCCACAACGCGCTACAGCGTGGGCGGTCTCAGCCCCTACTCCCACTACGACTTTCGGGTGGCGGCTGTCAACACCATCGGCCAGGGCCCCTCCAGCGAGGTGGTGGAGGCTCGCACAGCCGAGCAGGCCCCCTCCTCACCGCCCCGACAGGTCAGGGTTTCATTGCCTTTTCAACAGCAATAATGTACCAATCATTTGAGAGGAAAATAAAATGTGTGCCCTTTTGGGTCCAGTACGGAAAAAGGTTAATTGTTTTAATCTATTTTTATTGTTTCTTTTAGCAGATCGAAAGCGTTGTCATTATACAGCACAGTTCAATTAGCTGCCTATTATTTTAACAGTCATACCAGTGTGTTATATAAATGTGTTTTCAATATGTTTTCAACTTTCAAACACTAGACTTAATTAGCCTTTAGTTCTTTAAAAATGAACCCCACTGTCTTCAACAAGGTTTGCTGTAGTTTAATTAGAGTACATTTTAAACCAGCACTGCGTTGTTGAACCTCTCTCTGTTTGCCTTGCAGGTCAGAGGTCGTATGCTGAGCACCACAACAGCAATCATCCACTGGGATGAACCAGAGGAGCCTAACGGACAGGTGGTGGGCTACAGAGTCTACTACACACTCCGACAACACGCTGCTTGTCAACCAGGTACCTGTTTATAAATCACTCCTGACAAGTTGTGTTGTCTGCACTTGTCTAATTCACAAGTGTGCATCAGTGTGTCTACTTGCTCTCATGCTTTGTGTCTTGTTTTGTGCAGTGGGAGAAGCAGATGGTGCGCAGCGCCAACTTCATCACCATCCAGAGCTTAACTCCTAACAAGACTTATTACATCAGAGTGATGGCCTTCACCTCTGTAGGAGACGGACCTCTGTCCCAGGACCTGCAGATTATAGCCAAGACTGGAGGTAAGAGACAGGAGGAAATAGAGCGATGTATCATGCTATGCTGAAAACACTCATTCAAGCCAAGAATTCTGTACAATTAGAGAGTGAGTCATGGGAGTCTTTCCCCAGAAATAAAAAAACATGTGGATTATTAGTCAAAGTCTTTGTGGGGATTATTACAAAACTGCACTAAATACATTTTGTAGCTCAGTAATCTCCCACAGAGATTTTGAGTAAATTATTTGTACAATCACTCACTGTATGGATGTGTCAGGAGGTATGCGGTTTGTTCCCCAGTCCACATGTCAAAGCGTCAACCCTAAATTGCTCCCCTGGGGCATCAGTGTGTGATTGTGTGTGAATGATAATTAGATTACATTCTGATACAAGATTTGGCAGCGGCCATCAGTGTCTAATCGGTGTGTGAATGGGTATCTGTTAGCATGTAGTGTTAAAGCTCTTTGAGTGGTAGAAACACTAGAAAGATGCCTTATAAATACAAGGGCATTTACTATGAACCATTACTTATCAACTCATATGAAGATTACACTTACAAACATTTCCCTATCCCTATTTTTTTATTATTTTTGTTTAAATGTTAACATGTTATATGTTAAAAGCTTTGTAAAGCACATTGTATTTGAGTTATTATTGTGATTATTAATATGATTAGTATCTTCACTTATAATCTGCAATCCTGTCTTTCCTCCACTCTGTAGTTCCATCCCAACCATCAGATTTTAAGGGTGAGGCCAAGTCTGAGACCAGTATCCAGCTGTCGTGGGTGGCCCCACCCCAGGGTGGCCCCGACAACCAGATCACAGGATATGAGCTGGTGTACCGACGAGCTGACGACACAGAGGAGGTGAGATAAGAGAGAGAGAGACACAGATTGGTAGCTGAGAGGACTGTGTTGCTGAGCTAATACATTCAAGGATGGTTGGCTGCATGATAACAAATGAAAGGAAGGGTGTATGAATAGATGGATGGGCAGGCAAACAACAGATACATTGTATAAATATGTATAGTTACATTAATAAAGGATGCTTTTTTTCTACCACCCTGTAGAAATAGTAAATACGACCGGTTTTGTTTGTTTTTCTCACAACCTGATATCTCCCATTGTCCCGTTGTCCTCATGTCCTTTCAGAAGAAAGTAAGCTTTGAGCCTGTCACCTCCTACCTGTTGAAGAACCTGAAGCCTTTCTCCACCTACACCTTCCAGCTGGCTGCAAAGAGCAAGCATGGAATTGGGGCGTACACGAACGAAGTGTCCATCGACACACCGCAGACGCGTAGGTCCAACCACAAATACAGCTGTGTGTGTGTGAGTGCTTGAGAGAGGGAGAAGAGAGAGGCTTCAATTTTGATAATGCAAAAATAAAAAACGGACACAAAAACTGAACAACAAATGAATGAAATGCCAGATCTATCACCAAAGAACAGTATTTGATAAGACATTTGGCAGTTCGGCACTTTTTATGCATTGTCAAAAAGGGGCCGACATGAATCCAGACCTTAACTGACCTCAGATTTGATTTTTCAACAAATATATCATCGAATAAATACCAGAAGTGTATCCCACATTAAATATTTCAGCCAAAATAGTACTTGCTTATCGATAATTGACCAAGTAAACTATACTGAATTTGTTGGCTACCAATCTGAGGTCTGTAAGAGAATGAGTAAGAACAAGGCAAAAAGACAGAGGTTTGTAGATAGAGATGAGAACTCCCTCATGGATCACAGAGGCTTGGGTAGGCTGTAAGGACAAGTAAGTTATGGGCAGGTATGTTTGTGTGTTGAAGCTCTAGTCAGTGTTTTTGTGTTGCATCTCTTTTAAGTCATTCACTCGTTTTCATGAATTCAACATTTATACCAAACAGAAATTGACACCCATCATTCAGTATCTTTGTTCGGCCATCTTGCTTTCTAGTCACAGGTTCATTTTCTCATAAGAACTTTTTGTTCTCCAGTGTTTTGTTTTCATTTTATGTTTTTTTGTCTTTTGTTCTTTGTCTCTCGTCAATTTCATCCCCATTCCTTCACGGCAAACCTCACTTCATCACCTCTCCATCCACCAATTACAACTACACACACAACCAAATCACATTTACCCAACAACCCCTACTGTGGTTCCTCAAAACTGGCCGATCAGTTCCTTCGGCACCTCCCCAGGACATCACATGCACCAGTCCCAGTTCTACCAGCATCTTGGTAAGTTGGGCCCCGCCTCTCCTGGAGTTTCAGAACGGTGTCATTACCGGATACTCCATCCAGTACTCCACTACCGAGGGCAACAAAATGTCTAAAAGAGTTGATGGAGTTCATCCGGAAAGTTCTTCGTATCTACTGGAAAACCTAGAGAAATGGACTGAGTATGGCATTACTGTACGGGCTCAGACGGAAGCCGGGGAAGGACCAGAGAGTTTACAGCTGCTTATCCGCACCGAGGAAGATGGTATGTTCCCAAATAAACCCCATGCCTGTCTTAAGATGGTCCGCCCCACTAACAATGGCTACCTCACTAACATAGCAATAATGATTTCAAAGCACCCTAAACTAACAGCAAGCTTCTTTCACTGGCCATTAAAGACACTTTGTCTATCCTTGAGCTGAAATCTAAATGGATGATGCATTTAGGAACCACTGTCAGATCTTCCAGTTTTGAAAACCTCTCCTTTATTCCTGCATACCCGCCAGAAACCTCCAACATCCGGAACCTCCTCCACCTCCTCCTGCTTCTCCCTCTCCACTGCTTTCTCTTGTCAAAAGCCACCCTTTTTTCTCCAGCAGACCTTTTTATCCTCAACCAGCGTTTTTCTTCTGCTCTTTTCCCTTTCTTATAAAATAACCTTTTTGGGGGGGAAAGGAATTGATGGGATTTCCCCTTGTATCTTCCACTAACAACACCAGAGCAAACCCTTTGGCTGTAGCTGTACATTTTCCCCACCTTGGCTTTTCTAACTGACTGTCAGCTCCTCCAATCCCTCTCCAATTATTGAAATATCTTTATGCAATATTTTATTGTGTTTTATTGTGTCTTTTTTTAATATTCAGACATTTTTTTGTAAATCATACTCTTTCATACTCCCAATGCCTCCATTTTTCCAGTTTGGAGACGATATGTATTTATATTTCTCTTTGGGAGATAGTTCTTGGCAGCATGAGAGAGGTTTTTCTTGATAACAGTATTTGCTCTTTTCAGCTTGCCACTGTTTATCTGCCTATGGCAACAAATCCTTTTCTATCTGCCATTCTTATCTTTCTCTACATTTGCTTCTTATCGTCCACTGCTTTTTTCCTCCATGTTTTTCTCAAGCACTCGTTTTTTTTTACTATTTTGACTTTTTCCCAGACATCATGGCAGTTTTACACTTTTTTGGAGTGGTTGTATTTTACATTTTTTTAGCTTTAGGTTTTTTTTTCTTTTTCATCTACCCCAATATATTTTTTATTATAAAAACTAAAGACCTTAACTTGAGAGGTTTGAGTGCCCATCATCTGTGACCCTTGACCTCTATAAATGCATTTATAGTTCCAAGTGGTCCTCCGCGAGGGGTGGAGGCAGAGACTGTGAACGCCTCGGCCGTTAGGGTGAAATGGCGAGCACCAGCGGCCGAACGGCAGCACGGTCAGGTCCGAGGATACCAAGTCCACTATGTGAGGATGAACAACGGAGAACCTCAGGGTCAGCCGTTCATCAAGGACATCCTCATAGAGGACTCTCAGGTAACACTAACACCTTATGATCTAATGAACTGTTATAGGAATGTTTTAAGAATGCTTAAAACCAATATTTTAAATGAGCCCACTTTTTTAAAATACAGTCATATTAATTATAGATGATCATATTAAGTTCAAAGTTAAACATTAAAGCCATACAACATTTTAAGCTCCCTCAGCATTTTCGTTAGCATGGATATAGAGCAAGAATAAAATCCTCTATCTATATAAAGAAAGTACAAAGAAAGTTGTATTATTAGTTGTAATAGATATATTTATATATTTGTTATTTATATATTTAGTAATTACAACAGAGAAGTTATTTGATGAAGAATTATACAAAATTAACTGACAAATTAAGTAGAAACCATCTATAAAAACATGTTGATGTCCCAGGAAATACTTTATGCTTATTTGCCTTCCTGCAGAGAGTTTAAATGTATACTTCGATGACAGCAAATATTTTGCATTTGACTCGAGTGTTCGGTCATTTATATCATATCCCGAATACTAATTGTTACTCTTTTTTTCTTCTATTTCTCTCCTCCCTACATCATTCAGTGGGAATATGATGACTCAGCTGAATATGTGAGTAAAACAATCTTTAAATCTATTATTTAATAGTTGATAACAACAAAGCACAGATAGTAGATGAGTCATATTTATGAGATTAAAAACCTCCTACATCCAGAGCGAGGGCTTACAATCGAGCACAAGGCCCCTTTTTTCATTTCTGCAGTGTGTGTTCTGCAGGATTTTTAATAAAGGACCCTGGAAAAATAAGTGATGATATGAGTCATCTGTGGGGTATTGCCAAAAAACCAAGGTATTAATGCTTTCCCAAGGCCAAAAAAGAAGAAAATATAGTTGTTTAGTGCTTAGATGGAGACCAAACTAAATGAGTTTTGAATGTGTTGGTAGTTAAATCACATTTTGTGTTGCTTGTGAACTTAATTTTAAGCTCTGAAGGTATAATTTAATAAAGCTGTTTTGAGTTTTGTTGAGATGATCACAAATCAACTCTACATTTGGAGAAAACAATGTGTTTATTGGATTCCCTGGCCTGTAGTGATGGTGGTTTAGAAAAGAGCTAAATATATCTGCCTACAAAGATACAGACAAAGAGGATAGAATTGTTTCTTTTACCAGTTTGACCCAGACTTTTTATTAAATTGAAGCCCTGCTCCTTGTTCTGAGGGCACAGAGAAATTGGCTTTTGAAGCTGACAGTGCTTTTTGTTTCTCTGCAGGAGGTGATTCTTGGAGACCTGAAGGCAGACACAGCCTACTCTGTATCAGTGGGGGCTTACACTGCTAAGGGCGATGGCGCTCGCAGCAAACCTGTTACTGTCTGTAGCGCCCTGCCATGTAAGTGTGTCAACACCAACTCTTACACAAACGTACAACAGGCTTGGAGCTAGAATCAGCACTCACATAACTTGTAATGATCTTTGAGAATAAAGCATCACTAACGGTCATTAGAGCCCATTAAATCATTGAATTGTTATATTTCTCACTCTGTAACACCTTTATATGCCAAAATGAAGCCAGTCATTTGTTGCCGCCACATTAATCATATTTTGCAGTTTTGCTTGAGGTTATGAATAATGTGATATGCAATTATCCTCTAATCATTCTCTCTCTTCTGCTCTTCCCTCTTTCTAGTGCCTGAAAAACCCAAATTGACGGTGAGTGCCACTGATTCAGGTACTGCTTTGCTTCAGTGGTACCCGCCTCCCAACCAGCCCACCCCTCTCCTCGGGTACCGCCTCACCTTCGGCCGCATCGATGTCCTTCCCTTCACGGTGGTGGAGTTCCCGACCAAGGAGAACAGCTACACCGCCCAGGACATCCACAAGGGAGCTAACTATGTGTTCAGACTCTCCTCCCGTAACAAAATGGGCTACGGAGAGGAGGCTCTAAAGGAGTTGACTACTCCGGAAGACGCCCCAAGTGGATACCCAGAAAATATCATCCTGGAGGAGGCTTTTGCCACCTCACTCCGACTGGCATGGAAATCAGTCCCACTCATTGAGCAAAATGGGAAAATCATGAAGTACTCGGTGCTGTTCAAGGATATAAACAGTCGAGGGAACGCCTCAGAAGTTGTGGTGCCCAATCCAGGGTTGAGTGTTTTGTTCGAGGGTCTGAGTGCCGACACTGTGTATGATGTCAGGTTGTGCGCGTTCACAGCTGTTGGCCCTGGGCCGTACAGCCCCAGCGTTCAGTTTAGGACGCAGCGGCTAGACCAAGGTAGGACTCCCTTTCTAACAACCCATCATCATTGCTCGGGAAGTGCTTCCTAACTTCACATTTGTGCATACAGTACATTGTATACACTAAAACTCCACTTGCACACAAACACTGGTGACATCATCCTAAGTGTCATTTTCTCGTTGTCTTGTCACTGTAGTCTTAGACCCAACGTCCTTTTCCTTAACAAGGTAAGAGTCCCTGTCCAGTCACACTCGCTGTGGGTTGATCAGAGCAGATAGCTATCTTGAGATTAGTACTAGAGAAGGAACACAGGTAAGGCTTTCATTCTGGTTCAGTAGAGAGATGAATTGAGAATTGAATCATATTAATAGTTTATTTTTTTCTCTACCTTAGTTTTTGCCACCAACTTCAAAGTGAAGGCTGCCATGAAGAACTCTGTTCTGCTGTCCTGGGAGATCCGAGACAAGAACCCTTCCCAGCCATTTACTGTGAGTAGATGTACTTTTTATCATATTAAATGTAGCAACAACAAAAAACTGATTTCAATTAGGACAGGTTTCAAATGATGTACAAACAAATGCCTGTGTTAGGTTGCCTGAAAACAAACTAAACATGTTCTGATTGATAATGATTAAGTCTGAGGCTTTTGATCTAAAATAAAGAGATGTTTACAAGACTACAGGCAAAAGCATGGAGACTTTGTACTTTATTTTGTATATTCAAATGTGAAAATAAAACAGCTACATTAAAATGAATAGCCTCCTCGGGGCTGTTTGAGAATTAATTTAACTCTCAAACGATTGACCTACCTTGTGTCCAGATCCTGTATGGAAAGGGCGAGTCTGTGGAAGTGGATGGGAAGCTGACCCAGA